GCCAGGGCACACGTGGCCCTCAGCTCTCCAGATGCTCCAGAAATGAGCATCACAAACGGCCCTTCATTCCTTCAACCTCACTGCCCGATGCCAAAAGCCCAAAGCTGCATTTCAGCCTTCCCAATCTCCCAGCCAAGGAGCACAGCATCAGCCGTGGCTGCACGCCGCCCCTTCTGCCCCTCTGCACACTGCTGGCCATCCCTGCAGTCACAACGAGGAACTTTTGGGAGCATCACATCTCCTGACCAGCATGTTTCACACAGAACCATTAAGGTTGGAAAAGACTTGAGACCCCCACCGTTCCCACCAACCACATCCCCCAGTGCCACATCTCCACAGCTCCTGTCCACCCCCAGGATGGTGACCCCAAACTCCCTGTGCAGCTGTGCCAGCACCCAGCTCCTCTTTGGATTCCAAATTGTTCTTAACACCCAACCTGAGCCCTCGGCACAACCTGGGACAACAAACAGCTGCAGAATCCCTGAGGCTGAAAGTGGCAGAAACTGCTGGTGCAGCAGCAAATTCCCACCTGCTCCAAGTAAACAGAGGCTTTCCATTCAGCACAGTGCGAGGCCTCCAAGGAGAGTGAACAGGAGGTGAGTGATGGAGAGGGGAGCCCAGGCAGGACCCAAAGGCTGCAGCACAGCCCTGTGCATCTCGAGTTGGCTTTCACATCGCTGCTCACTGAGCAGAGCTTCTGCTTTTCCAACATCACAGGACTCAATTCTTCAAGGATGACCTGCCACCCTCATGACTGTGCCCGAGGCCTTTTGCTCACCAAGGTTTCTCCCCTTGCTACACGGAGCTCTCAGATATGCAACCATTGCAGCCATCCCGGCGCAGAACCTCTGTCCAGGTACAGGGCTGCCACTGGCCAAATGTCACCACGGTGCTGCAGGACTGGTTGGCATCTGAGCACCTCACGTGGAGTGTTACAGCAGGGAAGGCAGCAGTGCAGCATGGCTGCAGCTCTCCCTGTGCACCTGCAGGGTCAGTGCTCAGAAACAGCACCGAGACAATCACTGCCAAAGGGCTCTCCACAATCTGCCCTCCAGCCTTTGCTCCAATACAGAACAGCAGGGACTGGGAGGGGCCTACAGAGATCGTGGAGTCCAACACCCCACAGCAGAATCCCTACAGCAGGTTGCACAGGAAGGTATCTGGGAAGCTCCTGGATATCTCCACAGAAGGAGACCCCCACTCCTGTGGGCAGCCTGGGGCTGTCCCAGGGCTCTGCCACTGAACAGTGAAGCATTAGTGCAGAACTCCCTGTGTTCCAGTTCATGCCCATGAAACACTGCTGAGACGAGGCGTGAGAGTCGAGGCACCTCCATGCTGATGATTCTCGCTGCTGTCCTGGCATCCTCTAAGCTCTCTGAGAGTTCTGCATGTAGAACGAAGCTCCTTAACCCTACGCCTCCAAAGCTAAGCAACCAGCAGGCGCTGCTCCCACCCTGGCAGGAGGGAAGGCTCTGCACTGCCCGCCCCTCCAGGCACCCACAGCTGCCATTGCCGAAGCTCTGATGCCGCAGCTGGGACCTTCCCACAACCTCCCTGTGCTCAGCAGCACCGCACGTGGGGCTCCTGCACAGACAGAGCCCTGGGGAGGAAGCATTGGCCTCAGCCTTTAGCTGGGCATCACCAGCGGTCGCACCAGGCCCAGCACAACCTCAGCGTGCTGCCCAAGGGGACCAGCACTGCATGTTGCACAGGGCAGCACAGAGCCTGCACCTGGACCTGATGCTGCACCTGGACCTGATGCTGCACCTGGACCTGATGCTGCACCTGGAACGAGGTCACAGGATCACAGAAACACCAAGGCTGGAAAAGACCTACAGGATCATCCAGTCCAACCATCACCAATCGTCCTCACTAAACCACGTCCCTCAACACAAAGTCCAAATGCTCCTTGAGCACCTCCAGGCTCGGTGACTCCATCACTCCCTGGGCAGCCCATTGCACTGCCTGACCACTCTTTCAGAAAAGCAGTGTTTCCTAATGTCCAGCCCAAACCTCCCCTGGCACAGTTTGAAGCCATTCCCTCTAGTCCTACCAACACCAATGAGAGAGGTCAGTGCATGCACTGCACAGCATGGATATGTGAGCAAACTCAGCAAAAGGAGCAGCAACCTCAGGTTGCAGATCTTCCCTTCTCCACTGTGGAACCTTGAAGATCGCTGAACCATAGAATGGTTAGGAGGAACTTCACAGCCCCCACAGCCCCACACCAGGTTGGGCTGCCCAGAGTCCCTCCATGGCACTGGGGCGTCGCAGCGGCTCTGGGCAGCGGTGCAAGGCTCTCATTGCCTCTGGGTGAAGAATCTCCCTCCACCATCTGACCCAAACCTCCTCTCTTTTAGTTTAATACCCTCCTTGTCCCATCAGTTCTCTGCCAGCCGGCAGTTGGTCGTTATCTGTGGCTTTCTCCCCACGTAGGTATTTAGCCATTGTAATCAAGTTACTCCTCAATCTTCCGTATTTGTGAAATGGTTGAGCTCCTCACAGTGCCTCAGCTACCTTTTCTGACCTTTGATTCATTTCTACAGTTTCTTGATGTTTCTCAAACGTTCATTTCCCTGCACCCTTTTGAAATGCCAACACCAGAATCCAGCAGGTCTCTCCAGCAGCGTTCCTCCTGCACGCAGACAAGGATCCCTCCCATTTCCCCACTGCTGCTCCCCGCTCTGCGTCCCAGGGACACGGCCTGGAAAAGTTCTCCTCGTGCTGAGACCCCCCTCAGTCCTTGTTCCCACGCAGCATCATCACCCTGCACCAGCATCAGTTTGCCTGCACCGTCCCCAGCTGCCACACTCTTTGCAACGCACCCCAGGGTCCCTCTGGCCCTCTTGGCCTCTCGCAGACCAGGTCTGTGCCTGCACAGTAACTGCACTGCATGAGGCCGTGCACCAACAGCCCCCCGGCAGCACTCCCAGCTGTGCTCAGGACATGCTGAGCCCACGCACTGCCTCCTGCCTGGCCCCAACACCTCCAAACACTGCAGTTACCATCCTGGAAGACCCTCTCCACGTTCAGCCCGTAGGTGGCACAGGTCTCGTAGTACGTGCAGCGCTTCAGGTCGTTGGAGAGCTTCCGTGCCCGAGAGTCATCAATGACACGAGGGTTGGTGGCACTGATGGCATCTGCAAGGCGAGGGAGAGAGGTGAGGAGCAGGCAGCTGTGTCCCTCACACCCACAGCCCCGGGGCACTCCTGGCCTCCTGCTCCTTCACACTGATACTCACCTGCAAAGCACATCCTGCCCTACTAATGCCTCGGGTAATGAAGTCCCATCTGCAGAATGTGGATTTGATCACATTTTCAAATGAACCTTCCTCTACTCTCCTAACCACCCAGACGCTGCACTTCTGAGAAGGGCAGCAAGGAGCGGGAGGTGAAGCTGGGAACACAAAGCTGCCTGGGTGTGTGGAACAGGACAGGGCTCCAAGAACACCCAGCATCACGGATGGGACTGCAGCTGAGGGCAGCTGGAGGATGCACAGAGACAGCAGACAGAGCTGGGGGCAAAGGTGTAAGCAGGGCGGCCCTGGGTGCGAGCACAGCCCCCCCTGCATGGGGATGACGGTGCTTCCACGGGCTGGAAGTGACTCATGTGTGCCACGGCAGCTGGAACCACCGTGTGAGTCTGCCTCAATGGCAGAGCTGAGTGGATCTGTCATCATTTCAGCTCTTAGGGCCATACAGACATGATGCTCAGTTAATGGGGAAAGCTGGCTCTGAGGATGCGCTCACAGCTGACAGCACTAACAAGAGGCTGTTTGTACCACCCAGCCCGGAGCCACACCAAGATCCCTGAATCCTAAACCAATTCCACAATCTTTAAATATCAGAATTTTTACAACTTTGTCCTGGACTTAACCTGGGGCACAGAGCACACAAACTGAGACCTCCTGCTCCAGAAGCTCTCGGTGGCAAACTGCTCGCTCTGCTCAGGAGCTGGGTCCAGCCGAGGCTTTCTTCCTATTCCCCATCCCCTGCTCTTGCTCTCTGCTGGCACCTTGCACCCACAGATCGTGTGCAGGGTCCCTTCTGCCCATGCCCTGTGCCTGTACGTAGGAGGACTCTCCTCATGGAAACACGGAGCTCAGGCACCTGCAGCGATTCCTTCACTGCTCCCCTTTCTGCCCTTGCTGCTCCCCTCCCCGCTTCCCAGGTGCTGCACTTTGGCTGTTGGAAGCCGGCTGCCCCAACACGCCGGGGGAGCCGGAATCCAACTGCAGGGCCCCAGCCCTGCCCAGGCAGGAGGAGGGCAGCTCTGCACACTGCTGCTCCTCCCCACGCCCAGGCTGGGCTGGCAGCACTCGGGGGTGGCAGAGCCCCACCGCCCAGCACAGCACGGCTCAGCCCGTGGGAGCTGGCAGCTCCGTGCCACCCCTCAAACCTTTCCTGCTGCAACTTGCCCCAGCAGCACAGATGGCAGAGCATCAGCACCAAACCCTCAGGCATCGGCCTGATGCTCAGCCACTGCAGGCAAGAGCTGGAGAGGCAGCGCAAAGGCAGCGTTATGAGTGGAGAACAGAAGCAGCTCTGTGCACAGAAGCTGGGAGGGCTTGAAGAGGAATTACGGAGCTCCTCCAAGGCCCCTAACCCAAGCCACTCCTAATAACTGCCTCAATGCAGCATGCAGCCCGAGGCAGGGAGAGACCCTGGCACCCCCAGCTGCCGGCACTCACCCTGTGTGCCCACCAGCACCATCGGCACCTCCGCCGTGTTCCGGTAGCTACACAGCCGCAGGTAGTAGTTGTACACTGTCTGGAAGCTGATCTCGTCCTCCAGGCTGAAGACAAACACCACGGCATCAACCCAGGCAGCGAACTGAGGGTGGGAGACACAGCAACAGTCACAGATCATCACCGACCACCAGCACCACACAGCCCTGCACTCACACACAGCCCTGCACTCACACACAGCCCTGCACTCACACACAGCCCTGCACTCACACACACACAGCCCTGCACACACACACAGCCCTGCACTCACACACAGCCCTGCACTCACGCACACACAGCCCTGCACTCACGCACACACAGCCCTGCACTCACTCACACACAGCCCTGCACTCACACACAGCCCTGCACTCACGCACACACAGCCCTGCACTCACACACAGCCCTGCACTCACACACAGCCCTGCACTCACACACACAGCCCTGCACTCACACACACAGCCCTGCACTCACACACAGCCCTGCACTCAAACACAGCCCTGCACTCACACACACACAGCCCTGCACTCACACACACAGCCCTGCACTCACACACAGCCCTGCACTCAAACACAGCCCTGCACTCACACACAGCCCTGCACTCACACACACAGCCCTGCACTCACACACAGCCCTGCACTCACACACAGCCCTGCACTCACACACAGCCCTGCACTCACACACACAGCCCTGCACACACACACAGCCCTGCACTCACACACAGCCCTGCACACACACGCAGCCCTGCACTCACACACACAGCCCTGCACTCACACACAGCCCTGCACTCACACACACACAGCCCTGCACTCACACACAGCCCTGCACTCACACACAGCCCTGCACTCACACACAGCCCTGCACTCACACGCAGCCCTGCACTCACACACAGCCCTGCACTCACACACACACAGCCCTGCACTCACACACAGCCCTGCACTCACACACACAGCCCTGCACTCACACACAGCCCTGCACTCACACACAGCCCTGCACTCACACACAGCCCTGCACTCACACACACAGCCCTGCACTCACACACAGCCCTGCACTCACACACAGCCCTGCACTCACACACACAGCCCTGCACTCATTCCCCCGTGTTACCCTGGGATTTTGCATCCTCTGGCCCAGCAGTGCAACATTTCCTACCTGGAGCTCGGGGGGGCCGCCCTCATCACGGATGAGCAGCAGGTAGCTCTGACCATCCACCACAATCTCCTTCTTAAATCGGCCGCCTGGGGGAGAGAGCGCGGCGGTGAGAAGGGCAGAGCAGGCAGTGGGGTCCTGGGACAGCGGGGGAGGCAAAGGGGAATGGAGGCCGCCTTTGGGGCCGGGGGAGCGAGGGCCCCGAGCACTGCAGCAGCTGCAGCTCACCCTCTGGAGATTCCTCCTGCACGTAGGTGCCGGTCAGGTAGCGGTGCACCAGGGCCGACTTGCCGCTGGACAGGTTCCCCACGATGCCCTGGGAGAGAAACGCGTGTCAGCAGCTGCCTTTCAGCACAGCACGAGGTGACCCAGCGCGGCGCCGCAGCCCCCCGTCCCCACACTGCAATCAACCGGCAGCGGAAGGGAACTCATCTCCCAGCTCACGCATCCCAAACCATCAGCACTGGAGCTCTTGGAACTCAGGCTGAGCCCTGAGCCGGGACGTGAGCAGAGCTTTGGGCTGAAGCCCGTCGGGCTCAGTCTGGGCCACACTGCTGATCTCCTGCAGAAGGAGCACAGCTGCCCCGGGCTCTGCCAGCAGGACGGCCGTGCCTCTTTCTAAGCCAGCACCTTCGCAGCAGATCGAAAATGCCCAGGGTCTACAAGGCTGCAGGCAGGCAGTCTGAGCAGAGAGCAATGCTGGGTGAAGCATCCCCACGGCACCCGGCCCGGCTGCACAGCCTGACTGCATCCACAGCGCCCTTGGGGACAACTCCTGCCAGGGGGTGCCCAGAGGAACAGCTCTGCCATTCCGGCACTGCCTGGTACAGCCTGGGGCTCTTCACCAGCGCCAGCTTCCTCTTGGCTCCACCACACATAAGGCTCCAGCTGTGCTGCCCTCAGCTCCTCCTCCACATGAATGTTCTGCAGGCATCCTCACTCCCTGTCCCCACTGCTGGCTGCCACGGCAGTGCGGCTCCATCAGGACCTCAGACCTGCAGCAGAGCCACGACATCCTCATGCCGGGACTGCTGCAATCCTGAGCACCCCACACCTCAGCACGCTGCATCAGAGCAAACACACAGCAGTTCTGGAGCACTCGGGATGCTGCCCTGACCCAGGGCACGGTGACCTCACAGCCCCCTGCCCGTTGCAGGGCTCCCAGCAGGCACAAAGCTTCACGAAGGTGCCGTGCAGCCACACACACACGAGACCCAAAAGCAAAATCCACGCTCTGTGAGTTGGCTGCAGGTGTGTGGGCCGCAGCAGGAGCGCTGCGTGCCATAAAGGGACCCCGACGAGCCGACGATCGGTGCTCACAGAGCTGGGGAAGGTCTGCGCTGACAAGCAGGATCAGAAGGTCAGGGACAGAGCAGAGCTTCGTGTGAGCCTCTCCCCCCACCTGCACTGCACTGCTGCCCATCACGGGGCTCCACTGCTGCTCTCCCACACAGTGCTCGTGGCACAGCCTGCCCACGGGGCGCACACTGCTGTGAGACCCAGCCGTGCCACGCTCAGTGCCTGCTGAGCACACTGCTGACGGACAGAGGGCTGGGAGCGAGGCTGGAGGAGCTCCTGGCAGCTCAGGGTGTTTGGTGACGCCTGCGCCGACTGCGGGACGGCAGCACGAGGGGCAGAGTTGGGCACATTTGTGGCAGCTCGGGCTGCTGGCTCCAAGACCCGCCTGCCTGCAGGGCCCTGGGGAGAGAAACGGACCCTGTGAGCGATGGGGCGGCCGTATTTCAGGGCAGGTGGCAGAGGAGCAAAAATCCAGAGCCCAGGGAGGAAGGGAGGCACCGCACTGCAGTGCCAGAGCAGCGCTGGACCCACACTGACTGCTGCCTCCAGACAGCAGCAGCTCTGTGGGCAGCTTCCCTTCGTGGAATCACAGAATCATTCAGGTTGGAGAAGATCTCCGAGATTCCCAACCCCAGGCCACCCCACCACGTCCCCAAGCACATCTCCACGGTCCTTGAAAACCTCCAGCAATGGTGACCCCCAGCCCTGTGCAGCCGTGCCAATGCCCGACTGCTCTCTGGAGAAGAATTGCTCCTAAAACCCAGCCTGCACCTCCTCTGGCACAACGTGCAGCCAGCCCTTCCCATCTGATCACTTTGATGCTTTCCTTCCCTCAGGACAGGCCTGCAAAGGGTCCCCCCACCACCACAGACTGCAGGCAGGCAGAAAGGGACACAGCTCAGCACCAGCCTGAGTGCCTTCACGCTTTGGGAAGCACCACAGCGTCCGGACGGAACCCCAGGGTGATGGCAGACAAGGCAAAAGGCCGTGCTGCTCTGGGGAGAGCTGAAGGCCTCAGGTTTGTTCAGCCTGCAGCGCTGCACGCTGTTAACACGTCAGGAAGCAATACACAGAATAGCTGCAGGAGCATCTTTGGACAGACACATGTTTTACAAGGGAAACTAACAAGTGAATATTCAGAGTTTGCTTTCATTAATACTTAACTGCAGATAAGAAAAACCGTGGCAGCACTGTGCTTGTGAGACTTGCCAAAACATCCCTTGCTTTTCAGAGTAAGACCGAAAAGCATTTAATCTTAAAAGGGCTGAAAGGAGACGTGCCAACAGTTCTCAAAGGGAGTTACGCTGAAGGCTGCTGTCGAGCACAAGAAGAGCGAAGCTCTGAACGGGTTGTAGGGTCCTGGGAAAGCTGGGAGCACGCGGTGCTCTGCACAGCTGACCCTGTCCCACCACAGCCATCCTGAGCCTCCCCCCCCCAGGCACTGCTCTGGGCTCTGGTGCCCATCAGCCAGCTCAGCCCAAGCAGCCACCACCCGTCCCCCAGCACTGGTGACAGTGGCAGCTCACAGGATCCAGCAAGGACACGTGGTGGAAACGTCTCCGGCCTCAGAGGGCTGCACCCTGAGAGCAGATCCCTGCTGCAGGTGGCCCATAGGAACATGGGGTGAGGTGGGCACGGGGGAGACTCCACTGCCAGAGCCCACGCGCCTCCCGGTGTTCTGCCCTGCAGGCAGGCAGTGACAGCTCTGCAGGATGCACTGCAAGGCAACGGCCGGACGCTCTCTGCTGAACACAGAGCACAGTGCTGGAGGTGAGGTCCCACAGCACCCTTAGGGCAGGGACACCGCAGGGTGGCCACAGGGACGTGGGAGCAGCAGAGAGGTGCTCAGCTCTGCTCCCGCGTGCTCTCCCATACCAGCACCCACTCCTGCACAGCGTGGTCCCCCCAGGGAAACCCTCCCAGCACAGCAGCAGCCCCAGCCCCTCTGCGCCCCGTGGGGCTGGAGCCCTGTGAGCACTCACTGCGCCTCAGGAGGACGCGGGGGCCTTTGGGGGACGTGGAGAAGCATTGGAGGGCAGATGTGAATACTCACCACCTTCAGCTCAGGCACCGAGCGGCTCAGGGTCCATTCCTGGCTGTTCACAAAGGAATCTGCAGAGCAGAGAGCAGAAGGGATCAGGACAGGAGCCTCGCTCTGTGCCACGCTGCCACCCTCCTGCCCAGCCCCGCGGCAGCACAGCCGCCAGCCGCAGCCTGCATGCTGCCTGCACTGCACACAAGGAGCTGCAAAGTGCTGCAAGCCGCAGTGCACAGAGCTGAGTCCCTCCAGTCCATCAGTGCTTCTCCCAGCACTCCTCCCACAGCTTCTGTCCCGCTGAGCTCCCCGCTGGATCACCGCAACACACAGAGCACCACCACCATCTTCCTCTTCACCACATCCCCTCCATCCCGTGCAGATGAAGGAAGCACGCCCTGCACTGCTGCACTACGCATAGAGTTTCCTTAAACTGTGGCAAAACTGGTGAAAATGGTGAGGTTTTGCAGGGGCTGTGACTGGAGCACAGGTGAGATGCGCTGAGCTGCCTGCCGTGCAATAGAGCTGGGGGGGGAAGGCTGCTCAGACTGAGAGCAAAGCTCATCCATGCTGGCAGCCCGCCCTGCTGTGCTGACCCCGCGCTGTAACCAGGCTTAGGAGTTTGTCAGCAACAGATTTTTACCGTGTTGTGTTGAGATCCAGCCTGCACCCCTCCTCATCCCCCCAGCACCCATGGGGTGAGCTCTGCAGCCAGCCCCAGCCCTGCAGGCAGCCATCAGCCCCAGCACTCACACCACGTGCCTGCAGCCCCAGCAGCCTGCACACCTCCTGAGCCGCCTCTGCTTTGTTTATTGCACACACTCGTGCCTTTTCCTAAAACCACATCAAATCTCCCTCCCGTACAGCTCTTTAGTGATGAGTTTCAGGAGTGCAAACACCGCCTTAAATCCCAGCTCCTGCAGCCTCCACGCAGAGCTTGGGGGCTTTCACTGCGCCCTGCGAGCTGCACAGCCTCAGCACCAGGCGGTGTCAGCACCAGGACCCCCCTGCACCGTGAGCCCCACAAACACCTCCAGAGCTCCCTGCAGAGCACAGCAGGCAGAAGGAGGACAGATGCCTCCATCCACACACCATACTGGCTGTGCACCAGCAGCACGAGGCTCTCATTTTCACTCCCCATCAGCACGGGGAGCTCCATGCAGCGGGGTGCAGAAGGCCCGCCTGCCTCCTGCTTTGAGAGGGCACTGCCGGGCGCGTTTGGTCTCCACAGACACAAATAATTAACCAGCACATCAATGAGCCGCTGCGGCACAACTGGGACGCTCGGACATCCCCACCAGCCCTGCAGCCAGGTCAGAGGCCGAACAAACAGCCCAGAGACCACGTTCCAAAGTCCCCAGCCGACAGCAGGGCACGGTGCCCATCACAGCCACCCCTTTGGCGCGGGGTGGGGAGAGCTCAGCCCCGCAGCACGGAGCTCTCTGCAGCTCGGGAACCAAAGTGAGCAGCGCCGGCAGCCATCAGAGACCCAGAGCCGCGTCCTCTGCAGGGCTGAGCTCAGCACCGAGAGGCTGGGAGCCGAGACTGCCGGCAGCGCAGCGCGAGCACTGACTCCCACCCTCACTGCTCAGCACTCAGCAGCAGCGGGGCAGCCTGCCCTGCTTTCGCAGGGTGAGCACCCAGCCCCAACCCG